GAACTAACCTAAGTGACACAGAAGTCAATCATGTATTGTATATAATGCTCTTTTTGTTAAGGTTATGTTGAGGTTTTGCAACGCTTTTATTTTTTTGACAGGTGAAAAAAGTGTTTTTCCAGCAAGGCATATGCGACGCATATAGCAGAAATTGAAGATCGGAGGTTTGCGCTTATTCCTGAGACGAGTCTCATCAAGTTGTTCATCCATCTTCACGTAATCGGTTAGTTCATCACAAACAATTAGTACTATTGACAAAAAAAATTGGGGTCATTTTTTGTGAAAACAGTTGTTGATATCGTTGTGTCCTCCGCTTTTTCTCAAACAGTGCGGCGTTCCCGAAGAGCTGATTGAGTCGGTGCGCTCCTGAACTCCAACCGAGCGAATCGCGTGGAGACATTAGCAGGCTTTTTGATGGGTTCACTCACCACAGTCAAGGTGAACCAAGCCTCTGCACTTTCCTCACTACTTCTTGTCATGGATGCCATCTCATGAGACCTTCGGAAATCGATTCCTCGTATGCTACTCTACGCTGAATATGATGCTCGCCCGTGAGGTCAAGGATTCCCTCGAGCAACAGATGAAAGTTTGGTCTGTATGCTTGGCTAACCTTGAACTCGGGTTGTACGTCATGAATATCGACTACGACAGCTGACTCAAACCAGTCCAGTCCCCTCAAGATCAGTGGAGTGAGCTAATAATTACAACAGGGTTCAAATATCTCGGATCAGCAATGATGGAAGTCTGGACTCGAAAGTGAGCTCGTGAGCGAGTGCAGCCAGGTCTAGGTGACGCTCCACGACTGGAGTTCTTCGCGACAAGAGGATCGCAGAGCGCCCCAGATTGAGGGTACAAGAAGCGTTGTTCGGCCTGTCACCATATACGGCGCTGAATGCTGGCCTGCGACCAAAGGGGGCGTGATGGAGAGCAAAACTTGCGATGGACGGCTGACGTCACTGTGGATCGCGTTCGCAATGATGACATACGAGAGATTCAATGTAGCTCCTGTAGTCGAGGGTATGCCCGAGGCTCTTCTTCGATGGTGTGGCCATGTATTAGGTTGTCCGGAAAGTTCTCAGCGTTTGTTACTATTCTGTACATTCATTGCTGATTAAAACTCATTCTCCCTTGCGTCTCAGTAGTACATCCTGAAGAGAATTTTTTGCGCTATCTGATGGTATAATTGCCGTTTCACCATTGCTTGATAAACCCCCTTTTCCCAAGACTTTGAAGCATGTCAAAAGAGCAACTTCGGACGATATTTTTCTTCAACTAAAAATTGGGTCAATCCGCAGTCGAGACAGCTCGACAAATTAACCAGGTGTGGGGGCCCAATAGTGTTGGAGAAAGCACCGTGCGACAATGGTTCGACAAATTTCGTTCTGGAGATTTCAGCCTTGAAGATGAACCTCGTAGCGGTCGACCTAAAGCAATATCTGACGAGGATTTTAGGGGGATTTTGGAGGCTGACCCATCCCAAACAGTTCGAGAGATAGCAGAAGAGCTAGGCGTTGGCAAATCCACTGTTGCAGATGGTCTGGAACGCATTGGGAAGGTGAAAAAACTCGACAAGTGGTGCCCCACAATTTGAGTGACCGGCCC